AAGCCAGTCCAGGGCACCATCAGGCATGGTGGTTTGTCATTAACTCATCTGGCCTCTTGGAATTTTAACCAAAGGAAAAACAGGGATGATGCTCTCTTTCTTGGGGCAGGTGCATTGACTGTTGCAGCTGAATGTCCAGCACCGGGCAGTTGGCCTGAGACACAGTAGGTGCTCAATAAGATGGCCAGTGAATTATGAGGGAAAAGTGAGATAATGGATATAAACTCATGTACACATACAGCACTTGGGAGAGAGCCTAGCCTGCTATACTCATCTGTTCATTCACAAAATAAACATCTACTGCAAGTCAAATGTGTGTCAGGCTTAGTAAAATTGCCCCAAGGGCTGTCAAACGAGCTACTCGCATTCATTCACCAGAGATGGCGTGGGCAGGGAGTCGGGAGCTGAGAGCAGATGGAAAGAGTGTCTGAAGAGGGTGGCATCTCTCATGAGCCAAACTTCAACCTCTGCAGAGGAGACTGGGCATGTGAACACCTGTACCCTCTGTTTTTCTCTCCTTTTGCCTTGCATCCTCGAACGTGCCCTGTTTTCCCTGGCCAACCATGAAGGTGATAAGAATTGAGGCCTGGGACACATATCCCTTGGTTAGTGCCTACATAAATTGTTTACACAAACTAAGGCAAATGTGTTGTTACTGTTGCTGTGTACCGTCGAGTTGAAATCAACTCATAGCGACCCTCTAGCGGGTTTCCAGAGGGAGTCAATTCAGAGAGGGGACTGTTTATCTGTCTCCCGCCGAGCTGCTGCTGCTGCTGGATTTGAACTGCGTGTCTTTGAGTTGGCAGTGCAATTCCTTAAGAGCAAGCCACCAGAGCTCACTAAGGCAAAAGTAATGACTGTTAAAGGGCTACTTGGCAGGGAGCTGGGCTGTGGGCTCCTGACATGTGTGCCCACTGCTCCCCAAGTGCTTGGGCTCTCGGGGAGGGACTGCATCTGTCCAGCATCTGTCACTCTCTCTGCCACAGTGAGCAGAAGACTCTCAAAAAAGCAGTGACTCCCAGGTGTGTGCAAAACGGTAATGAGAAAGATCAGACTAGCTTTGAGCAGCAGTGCTGATAATAGAAATTCATGACAGCAGTTGTGTGGGTAGAAGTGTGACGCTCCTGTTACTATGAGGTGCCATTGGGTCAGCTTTGATTTACAGCTACCCTATGAACAGATCTGAACCTTACACTATCCTGCATAATCATTGTCATCTCTGAAATGGGTCAAGACCACGTCACAGTCAATGTGTCAATCTGTTTCACTGACGGTCTTCCTCCCTTTCTCTGCCGACTCTCCATCTTTTCCAGTATGATGCCTTTCCCAAGGATTGGCCCCTCCTGGCAACATGCCAGAACATGTGAGAAATTTCACCCTCCTGGCCTCTAAGGGGCACCCTGGTTGTATTTCCTTCAACACACACCTGTTTGTTCTTTTGACAGCCTATGGGATATTCACTAATCTCCTCCAATACTACAATTCAAAAGCACCAATTCTCCTTTTATCATCCGTATTTATTGCCCAACTTTACAGGAAGCAATTGAAAAAAAAAAAAACAACCAAAAACCACAGTTTGGATCAGGCGCACCTTAGTCCCTAAACGGACATCTCTGTTCTTTTAGCTCTTTGGAGAACTCCTTGACAGCAGAGCGACAGCTTGCACATACATAGTACCTATTATGTGCCAGGCACATACAAAGTACTTGAAACACACTACACCTCACAGTAATTGTTTCCTTTTCATTTGCGTGACCAGTTCCAATTCACAGATGTGGAAACAGAGCTTTAGTATCTTCTCCAGTGACCACCTAGCTAACAAGTCCGAGTACCAAAGTGCAGCCTAAGGAATTGTTTTGCAGGTACCTTCACACAATCTCCTTAAAGTCCTGCATCAAAGGGTCTCCTCAGAACCAGTTTGTGTGCAGCACTGAAGCCTGAGCAGAGTCCCCAGCTTTTCTGATCATCTCATTCCTCCTCTGTTGGAATATCAACTCTGCATCCGCTGGGAAATAAAAGTAACATCCATAAAGCCCTTAGAGCCACATGCCAAATGTATAATCCCAGATGGACCAGTAATTCCTGCTGTGCTGATCAAACAGCCTAAGCTTCAGAGCACTAGGCCGACTTCATGTTGGTGAGCAGCTAAAGAACATTCTTCAAGAACTGACTAAGATAAGGGGACACCACATTTTCTGGGAAAATTCTTTTGCTCATTACATTGAATTCCTTCTGGAACCAGATAAGGGATGCATGGAGTTGGGTAGATGATCCATAACCTGAGTTTTAACCGAAGCTGTGCAGTTCCGGACAGGTGTCCGGCACCCAAAGTCTCAGTTATGTTCCCTGTCGGATGGAGGTGGTTTTGGCACCCTTGTCACAGGGCTATTTCAAAGACTGTCATGTTCAATTCTGAGACCCTGGGTACTTGGCATGGCACAGAGTAAATATTCCATCAAAGGGACTTTTTTAAAATAAGCAAAACTATGAATATTATTGTTAATCATTTACAATAAAACCAGAAAGAGTGCTCAAACTCATTGCCATTCAGTCAGAATTGACTCATAGCTGACCCTCCGGCAAGTTTCCAAGGCTGTAAATCAGTTGGGAGGCCCCCTTTTCTATCCAGGAGCTGTGGGTGGAGGGATACCTTCATGTCCATTTTCTTACTCTGTGACAGAGATGGTGCATAAAAGACTTTCAAACTCAAATTTTTGAGGAATCTATCTGCCTCCTTCTCCACAACAGCCCTTCAGACCCTGCCTTTGCCCCAGTGGGAGCCCACGTCTTCATGGCTGGGGTTTCCCAAATATGTCCCAGGATACCCCAAAACTTAGTCTGTTGTAAATAATGAAGACTTTGTGCCACTTCTCAGGAGCAAACTGAAGGCCTACACACAATGCTTCCTGGAATCCAGGAGGGATATTTCTTGATACTGAGAAGGAAGACGAAGGGAGAAAAGTACAGCCTTAATAAAAAATGAAAACAAAACATAACAAACACAGGAAGAGGTCTTTTTGGCAAAAGCAGAAGGAGGTATGAGAACTAAAGTATTTGAGACACAAGCAAGGAAAAAGAAAAAAAAAGGAAAGATTTCACTCTGCCTGGAAGCAAAGAGCCTTGACTTTGAAGGTCTGCGGGGCTATTGGAGAAGTGCCGACTCAAACGGGTGGCCACCCAATCTGGAATGCTGGGAAAAGTCATCAGAAGTGAAATGACCTTAAAGCGCCTGATAGGATGTGACCGTGTATGGCTCTGGTCCTTATTGCCACATGAGTTCCGGAAACCATCAGAAGTGGTAAAGGGAGGCTGTAGCTTCTGTGCACCCCCACCCCCCATGGTGGGGGCAAGTGTCTCCTCAGCAGCTGACTGACCTGAGACCTCGGGATCATGTAAGCATCGTAGCTGGACCCGTGGTACTTGGCCGTAATATCTGGGCTGTAGCCAGCATCACAAGTGCATGGTCTATTCGAGCTCGGGGGCTGTTTCTTAGGTCTATAAACCTGTGGGAGAAAGCTACAATGGTTAGGTGCAGGAGAGGAGGGTGCAGTGCGCACGGGGTAGGAATGAGGGGGAAAGCAAAGAAGGAGGCTCGTCTTGACTTCCTGTGGCCAAGTGGGTGGACAACCCAGTGTAGAGGATGCGCAGCCCCAAACAAAGAGGTTGGATGTAAGCGGTCCTGAAGCCTGGGGCCAGTGCTAGTGAGGCATGCCGCTCTGTGGAATGACCCCCGTGTCTGGCGGTGGCTGAGGCCCTCCCCTTGCAAGGAGAGGACAACCGGGTGTGACGATGCTCTCTCCCTCTCTTGGCAAGGCAGCCCCCATGAGAGATGGACTCAGGTTTGGGGACAAAGGATGCCTTTTCCTTCCTGAGGAGGAAAACGGTTGGCCTAATCAGAAGGCAAGGATTCTCCCTTCTGGCTACACTGTTGTTCCTGGAATCTAGGACTGCATTGTCAACTCACCCTACACACAGCTCAGTCTGGATCACCTGCTAGGTAGAGAGCTAGTCTGGGAGACTGAAATTGATATGGGCATCTTCCACGTGGTCATCATGTGGCATTTATAGAACTTCTGAGTGACAAGTGTGAGGCCCTCACTAAGACACGGAAGTCACTTTGGAAGGCTACAGACCACCAGACAAGTCCACTGACTCATTTTCATAATGAGGCATGAGTTGAGTGCAAAAATCTTTAACCATCAGCTACAAAAGCCTTTCCTCTCCTTTTAGTTTATGGAGGAAAAAATGGCTGAAGATTTCAGAAGTGATTTTTCCAATAAGCTTCAGATGCAATTATTTCCATATAAGCCCCTCTCACTAATCCACCAGAAAGCAAAGGGCTTTCAGTACAAGTTAGGACCATGTCCCTTCTTCCTTTCCCATCCAAACAAACCCAGCAACCTAAAGAGAAGGAAGCCAGAGGAAAGGGGGGTGGGGAGACAGCTGACACACTTGACTGAGCCATGGTGGCACGAGATGCCAGCCCTATTCTAGAAGTGTTAGGTGTGAGAGACACCCTAGTTGAAAAGTTCTGGAGGGAAATAGTTGAAGAACTAAAGGTGGAAGCACAGAGACAGAGAGAAATCTGAAGAACTGGATGAGGGCAGTTCTCTACATGAGCCAGAAAGTGAGCAAGATGGAAGGTAACAGGTCCAACAGGGAAGACGGTGCCTAGAATTTAACTAGGATTTAGTTCCTAGGATTTAGTCACCAATCAAAGTCCACTGGAAGGAAGAGAGCTTTTTCTGGGGAATGGTGCTAAGACAAAAGAAAGGAAAACAGCGCTGGCTGCAAACCACACAAGCCCAGGCAACATGCATGTGAACACAGGGAAGCAGAAAAATGGTGTCCCAGGGACAATCCAGGCCATTTCACTCCTACCTGGTTCCAGCCGCGTAAGCCCGCAGGATGGACATGGGGAGATGAAGAGTGGCTAAACCCAGGGAAAGCCCCGCAGCCCCAAACCCAGCCAAACACACCTTTGGTGCAGGAGGCCCCACCTGCTGCTTTAACTGATGCACTAGTCGGTCCTTCTCCCGCTTCAAGGCCAAGACTTCATCCTGGGTCTTCTTCTTTTTGGAGGCTGACAGTTCCAGCAAGGCAATGTTTGCATCTTTTTCACTGATTGCCGCAAGCAGTGCTTCCTGTCTGGGGAAAACAAAGAGTATTGTGATTCTTTTTTTATAAGTGAACAAAAAAAATTATTTAGCTTTATGGTGGACACAAGCCCCAGTATTATCACAATGAGAAAGAATTTCTGGTGAGGTTCAAGGTAAACTGCCTCCTTGGTTCTCAGAGTGTACAAAGCAATTTGGGCCAACATCCCTAGGACCCATACTCTGGGTTCTTTGACAGAATAGCGTTCAATAGTTGCATACATGTTGCTACATATGGAACAGAGAAAGTAGGAATGGGAGGGGCCCATCTGAGCACTTATTACTAAGATACTTCCATTCATACATCATCCATCCACCCATCCATCCATCCATCCATCCACCCATCCATCCATCCATCCATCCTGCCATCCATTCATCAATCCATCCATCCATCCATCCTGCCATCCATCCTGCCATCCATCCATCATCTATCCATCCATCCATCCATCCATCCATCCATCCATCCATCCATCCACCCACCCATCCATCCATCTATCCTGCCATCCATCCATCCATCCATCCATCCATCCATCCATCCATTCATCCATCCATCCATCCATCCATCCACCCACCCAAGTCATCCACTCATCATCCATTTGCCAAATAAGGTTCTACGTACTCTGAGATAACTCCAAAAAATTGGACAGCAATTTCATATTTATGCAAACTTTCCTCACAAAGGTAGATACAGACTACAGCCCCCTGTCCCCTTTTTAATACAGTTAATGATACTTCCTTGCCATTCCACTAAAAGTTATTCCTTCCTAAGTCTTCCTTCTCTCAGTAACAGTAACACCACCAAGCAACCCAGGGCTATACTTAGAAATCACCCCTAATTCTTCTCATCCTTTCTTTCTTCCTAAGGTCGATCCATCATGAACTCCAGTTGGTTGGTTCGTCTCATTCCTTTCTTGCTACTAAAGTTCTCCCCACCACCAGTGTCCTTTGCGTGGACTATTGAGAAGCTTCCTTATTGATCATCCTGGTCCACAGACCAAAGCAATTTTTTTTGTGTGTGTGTGTGTGAGCATAGTCCAATGGTGATTAAATTTTTTCCCAACAAAGAAATTGTCTTTTTCACTTGTGGGTTTCTCATTTGGGAATGGGGCATAGACTCTCTGGTTTCTTTTGTTGAACGGGGCGGGGGGGGCGTTGAGGTGAAGGGGGAAGGGGAACCCACTTTAACACTTTACTGGTGGTCCTGGGTTGAAGCTGTATGCCTTCCTTCTTGTTTAGTTAGAAGACTTTCCTGACATTTTTTGCCCTCTGGACTGCAAAGTGTTTGCCAAGGTGAGTCCAATGGGGATGGATGGCTGAACCTTGAGGCTCCTTCCTCCTTGCTTCCTTGTCTGGCAGTTATATTTCCCCTTTGTCTCTGGAACTGGGCTCAAGGTTCAAGTCTGGAGCAAGACTGAGTGTTAAGGTTACTTATAGGAAAGGGCACAAACCCATATTTTTTTTTTAGAATCTCTGTCGTCTTGATGTTGATTGAGCTTCAATCCATATTGAAGACTAGCAGTCAATTGTTTAACTCTTCAAGTCTATACTGTGGGCTGTGGAGGGCGATAGTGGTCTGCTTCAATGTGGCTTGCTGTGTCTCCTGCTCCTCGGGCTGCTTCCCCTGCCACTGTCATCTTGGTTCCTAGAACTTCCATGTTTTTTGGAATCTTTGTCCTCTTGATGCTGAGCCTCAATCCATATCGAGGACCAATAATCAATTGTTTAGACGTTCAGGTATAGACAAACTGTGGGCTGTGGAGGGCCATGGTGGCCTCTTTCAATGCAGCTTGCTGTGCCTCCTGCTCCTCACACTCCTTCCCCTGCCACCGCCATCTTGGTTCCCCAGACCAAAGCAACTTTTAAAAACATTTTAACTAGATTGACGTTGATCGATCCCATGTTATGAAATGATGCTGGCCCATGGTGGTTGCCTCACCAGCAGTGACAGTGAGGGATCGGAGGAATGTGAGCAGGAGACGCTGGGGGGAAATGCTGCAAATGGCCTCAGAGTGAAAATGTGCTGCTTTTGCCAAAGTTCTTCTGGGGCATTTTTAGGCCTTAGCAAATAGGGACATGGAGAATTCATTAATTCTTACTTGTTCTTTTTTTTAGCACTCAATTGGAAATGATTTTTTAAAAAAAAGTCTGCTACTGGAAAATGCTCTCTGACCCTGTCATTCTTGTTAAAGGCCAGGATCCAAAGGAAACAGGACAGTTATCAAAACCGTTTATTAGTGGTCTGAACGCTGGAACTATAGATGAAGGCTGGAGAAAACTTTTGAGAAATGGGCACAGTCACCGATTATGTGGTGATGAGACCCCGAAACAAAATGTTCCAGGGGCTTTGATTCTGTGACTTACTCTAGTGTCAAAGAGGTGGATACAGCAATATTGATGGATGTGCGGTGCAACCCAAGGGAACTGTTTCTAAAAAGTAAAGCCGGATGCCCATCTAACAGTGAAGAAAAGTTTTTTATTGGTGGCATTAAAGAAGATAGGGAAGAACATAATTTGAGAGACTATTTTGAAATGTATGGCAAAGTTGAAACCATATAAGTTATGGAAGACAGAGCAGGAAAAAGAGAGGGTTTGTTTTTGTAACTTTTGATGATCATGAGACAGTTGATAAAACTGTTGTTCCTAAATACTGCACATGGGCATAACTGTGAAGTGAAGATGGTCCTTTCTAAGCAAGAGATGCAGAGTGTATATCATAGAGAGGTTGTGGAGGTGGATCTGGAAACTTTATGGGTCATGGAGGAGGCTTTGAAGGCAGTGGTGGAAGTGATGGAAGAGGAGGCTATGGTCGTCAAAGAGGGGACAGCAGAGGTGGTTATGGAAGAGGTGATGGTGGCAATCACACCAGTGACTCTGGCTATAACAGTAGAAAGGGGCTATGGTGATGGTAGACCAGGATATGGAAACCATGACTGTGGATATATGGTGGTGGTAGCAGTGGAGCGTATGGTGGTTACAGTGAAGGAGGAAAGTTTGGAGGTGGGAACTATGGTGGTGGTGGCAACTATAATGAATTTGGAAATTATAGGGGACAAGAGCAATCAAATAATAGATGACCCAAGAAAGGGGGTAGTTTTGGTGGGAGAAGCTTTATGGTGATGGTTATGAATCTGGTGAGGGAAGTGGTGGATATGGTGGGAGAAGATTCTAAAAATTCAACAGAAAATCCTACAGTTCTTAGCAGGAGAGAGAGTGAGGAGTTATAGGTAACTTTGAGACAGTCATCCCAAAAGCATTACAGGGACTGTAAAAATCTGCCACAGAAGAAACAATGACTCATAGTCAGAAAAGTTACCACAGTTTAAACAGAAAACTCTTCTTATTCAGGACTGTCATAGTCACATTTTGCAAAAAGCACAGCTATAGATTAATGCATGTAGTGTCAGTTAGATGTCCATTCCTGAGGTCTGGCCTAGCTTTATTGTTTTCTTTTTTTTTCTTATCTGGCCTAGCTTTATTGTTTTCTTTTCTTTTCTTTTCATTACATCAGGTATATTTCCCCGTAAGTTGTGGGAATGGTACCAGGAATAAAAAGTGAAGACATTTTTAACTTTTCAATATTTGCATCATTAAGTCTTTCTACATTCAAGTACAGAAATTTTTAACAAAATGACATTTTGATGGTATTTCCTTTGGAGTTAAAAAGTAAAGATCATTATTAATTATTATTTTGTATGACTTCTGCTAGACTTAACAGCAAAGAAATACTTGCTGACTTGGAGGTTAAGGGGAATCTATTCTTCTCATTTTGAAATCATGATACAAATGGGCTCTGACATTTGGAGAGAATAGACATCTGTATGCTTGCAACCTTGGGCCTGTGGCCCTCGGGCCTGGTTCAAATTGTTTTTCTGTCAAACATTCTTCTAGGTGGTATAGCACTGGTATGTGCAACAGTAACAACGACAGAGAGAGAGCTGCATTGGCCTAATGGACATAAAGTTATGCTACCAAGCCCAACCTTGGTGAGTTTAATCTGCAGCCCTCAGGCCAGGTTCAAATTGTTTTCCTGTCAAAACATTCTTCTAGGTGGTATATGCATTGTATATGGTCTGTGTATTGCTGTACAGAGGTAACTTGTGGTTGCTGTGATGCTGAACCCTGTTACACTGATGTGCCAAATGTGATAATGGTTACCCATAGTGGACAGTATTTGCTGGAGCTTCCTAATTAAAACAAGCCTGGAAGCAGGAGTGGCATCCACTTCTGAAATAGCTTGCCTCCGGAAACTCTATGTACAGTGCTCAGGCCTTTAATTCATAGGGTTGCAATGAGTCGTCTACGACTCGACAACACCTAACGACAATGACAACATGCTTGCAACATGTGTTTTAGACAACAACAAGGATTGGTTATTTAAATTAGTATATCTGTGAATTTAACAGAATTCAAATCTGCCTTCAATGAAAAAGGTCAAAATTAAAACAAACAAACAAACAACCAATAAAGGCATGCTGTAAATATGAACTCTACTATTTAGGATGAAACAATCCATTGGACAGTGCCTGGAATGCCATGGCTACATCACTGATCCATCACTGAACTCACTATGTACAAAGAGCCCAGGTACTTATTTGTTTTCTAGACTTGACACTTGATGAAACTGGAAGTTCCTCTACCTCGTTCACCGCCCATCATGTAGCTCCTGGAAGAGCATTGAGAACATAGTGAGTCCTCAAAGATGTTAGGTAAGTGAGTAAGTACTAAGTTCACTGTACACAAGCCTTTGGAAGATAAAAATAATTTGTCTTTTCCTGTCACTGTTTTCTTCTAAATCATAATTTCTTGTTTCCTGCTTTATCTTTGATCTTTTCTGCTTCCTCAGAGAAGTTTTGACATTGCCTCCTCCCACCTTCGTACTTTCATTATATGGACAGATGTGTCCTGGACTTTCATCTGGAATTTTTCTGGAACCCTGTGATGAGAAATGTCTCTTCTAAGAATTTCCACTGCTGGAGTGGTGCTCCTACAGTT